TATTTCCTTGTGGTGAATGGATTTCAAAAAGCGCTCAACTCTTAGAGGAGCATAGTATATTCATTAAATGTAGTTCAGGACTTCAGGAGTGATTCATCGCTTTATTGCTACAGACCTGTTTCGTATGGTCAACAAGTGACCACACTCATCAGGCAACATCAACGAATGATGTTGAATGATGTTGAATGATGTTGCCTGATGAGTGTGGTCACTTGTTGACCATACGAAACAGGTCTGTAGCAATAAAACGATGAATCACTCCTGAAGTCCTGAACTACATTTAATGAATATATATATATATATAACTTTAAATATTAGTATTACCTGATGATTTTTAACCGTGTATAAAGAAATGCTAAATAAAATAAATAAACACAAATAAAATTTCAAGTTCGTCGTTTGTAATTCGCGTTAATCTTCTCAATCCTTAGCCATCCTTATTCCTTTATGGTCTACTATCATCTGTTTGGTCAATAAATTCACTATTTCAGGTTTCCTTCAATTTAAAGGAAATTTTGCATGTGGCCAAAATAACTCAAACTACTGTGACTAAGCTCCTTTAATCACCCTTTTTATCAGTGACAAATTAATTATTTAATTCACATCTTATACAGGTAACACGTTACAACGTCGCTTTTGAACAGTGAACACTGCAAATTTATTCCTTCTCTCACTACTTTTCTCGCCAAATTATGTAGCCAAAAAACGCAAGAATATCTTAAGCAATCTTAATTTAGAGACCTAAATCACCAAACCCGGTATGTAGCTGTTAACTTGGATTTGATTTAACCGCTGATTAAGAACCTAGCCGACTCCGCCCTTCACGTGATAGTTTTAAACTTACACGTCACTCTCTGCGTTGAACAACTGATCATGAATGGCTTCCGGAGACATCCATTTGATTGGTAGTTTTCTGCTTTTCTTAGAATGGTACACTTTCCCAGCGTACACGTTACGCGACAATCCAAAGTCGGCTACCTTCACTAGCTTGCCTTCACAAACGAGAACATTTCTCGCCGCCAGGTCACGATGGACGAATCCTTGCCTTGACAGAAACTCCTGCGTAAAATAAGAGAGGGAAATTTTGTCACTGCAGCGGACGTTGTTAATGAAAGGTCATGAAAAGGAAAATAACAATCTGTTAAAAGGGCCATCAAAGCATTTATATCAATATTACAAATTGCAAAGATATTGGCCAATCTCTACAGTATATACGTAATCCAGTTCGTACCATTCCTTTCGCTATCTGCCATGCGAACGTCATTAGGTCAGCAGGTGAGAGAGTATCATCGTCACGAACGTTGTCAGTATCATTCTTGATACTCTCATGAGCAATCGCTGCACATCCGTTCTTGTCACTGGTGCACTGAAAAGAGAACATCAACAACACTTATTTAATGATTAATTACCTGCCACAGCTCAACCCTCGGCTCACACCCCTACTGGGCTAAAAGGAGGTGGTAGATGAAACCTTAATTTCCCCTGGGTTTTCGTTGTAATATGATGTTGGTTATTCTGCTTTTAAAAGATAGCCCTCGGCTTGCTTTGCAAGATGACAAATTTTTACATGACGCCATACAATATGATGTCATAAGACGGCACTAAGGCCGCCATCTTGGACTTTATTATTTTCTCAGAAAGTCGAAAAATAACGTGAATTTATGGGAGATTATCCAAAACTAATACTAGAATCTAAAATGAAACTAGGTTTGCAATTTTATCCAAATAGACTTGAGAAAATGAAAACTTCTGTCAAAAAAGGCGAAGTTTAACAAGGGTTTACTATGGCAATGTCATATTACGTGGAGGCAGTTAATATATCAAAATCTCGGCTATGTTTTTTTCAGAATTCTGAAAAAAAACTGTCTGTGGTCTTATACGTTCGAAGGTTACATTGCAGCCAACATGTAGCTGAACATTTTTGAGTGGAAGCCTGAAAGTTCTGAAACAAGATAAATTCAAACAACTCCTCCTAAATAAATGCATGAAATCAAAATCGTTTTCCAGCAGAAGGTATTAGAAATTTCTTTCATCAAACATTAATGCTCATTTTAACCCTCGGACCTACAGGCTAACTCATACCCAAAACATGGTACAAGGGGCTGGGGGGGGAGGGCGTTGATGGAACCCTGCCATAGGTTTTCATTCTGTTAAGTCACAGCAAGTTATATAAATTTACATTGAATAGACAACCCAGAGCTTGCTCTACAAGATGACATCATTTTTGTTGGGTATGACGTCATATAACGTCATGTGATCCGCCACCTTGGATCCGTCATCCTGGATTTCATTATTTTCTTAAAAAGTGACGAAACAACGGAAATTAAAACAAAATCAAGCCAGAATGCTAACGGCTGGAAAATTGAAGAATTATCTTTAAAAAAGTCTTTATTTGGCCAAACCTTCCTGAAATTTGTGGTTGTCATGGCAATGTAAATAATAATTGAGGCACAATTGACATATCAAAATTTTTGCGGAAGGATAAATGAACAGCTAGTGAAAGTTTCAGCCTCTTAAAGTAAACTGCCTTTTCAAAACTTTGAAAAAACCTTATGCGGGTGGCATCCACCCCCCTTGTACACATACAAATTGGTCCTAGCGCCAGGTCACGCATAACCCNCCCCAATTGTACGTTCGAGGGTTAATATTCGTCTTGTTTATATTCAGAGCAAGTTGAATTGAATTCAGCACTACCGGAGTTGAGTTGAATTCGGCACTACCGAACACAGACGATCTAGTGGGAGGGACTGGAGGATTTGCTGTCCAAAGCACCACTGGTTACGTCAGTCACTCTTTTTGCATGCAACAAAGAGTGCAAATAATAATTACTTCATGTAAGCTCCCTTTATTGATGGCTCCTTTGGTTTGATATATTGAGTGGTGGGGCGCTGCTTCCCCCGTCGCTTCAAAAGCTTGCTCGATCTAACATGTAATACAATAACATACGCTTTTGTTAGCAAAATAGCAAAACTCTTAGTTACAAAAAAGATAAAAGAAAACTAGGTAAATTTACCATCAAAAATTTAAAAGCTAATCGAGCGAAATTAAATAGTATCTATATAAAGATGTTGGTTAGCAATAAAACTTAAAAGAGGGAGCAGTTGGAGACAAAATAAATAAAATCACTAAATCACTAATTACCAAGAAATAAAGTAAGTTAGTAATTAATAAGTCACTAGTAAGTGCCAGATGAAAACTTTTAAACAAAAACAAAGTAATACAAAGTTTTATAGCTTTTGAGGCGTTTTGTTTGGTAAAAGTCTAATGTCACAATGCCTCTCTCCACCAAAAGGTATTATGGTTACTTGGAAATTATATAAGCTAAGCTCAACCTGACAAATAGCTATGAGCGAGACAGAGGGTGTAACTTGCGGTGGCCGACAGCTTAAGGGAGGGGTGGTAACAGTTCAAGTGGCCTCGTGCTGCAGAAGACTAGATAAGCAGGAGAGGCTTCAGTATTAACTTTTGGTTTACAGTCAACGTCATTTCATGGTTTTCTATGTTATACGAGCGTGACGTTTTCTTGAAATTCACATTTATAAAATTTTTGTTTGTTACGGGCGATTAGGAAAACGAATTGTTTATTAAATCTTCACAGGATTTTCATTGAAAACTAGAATTACAGTGGAACCCCGCATCACGGCCACACCCTTAATACGGCCACCTCTCAATTACCGCCACTTTACTCTGACCCGAAGAAGAGCTAAGCGAGTCATTTTCCTACTAAAAGAAGTACTTTAGTACGCGGCCACCCCGTTAATACGGCCATACTTTTGTGACCCCATAGTGACCGAGCGGGGTTCCACTGTAAGCAACCAGCATGAGATAACAGCCCAAAACAATTCGAAGGATGTCTGAATTACTGTTCTGTACCCGTTCAACCGCGCCAGAACATTCTTATTTCCTCGTGTTTCCAAATTTTCTCAACTTAGAGAATACGGTCAAACGTCTCCACAACGCCAGCTTGGAGGCAGAAGAAAGTGGCGTTGTAGAGAGATGGCCGTTAGTGGAGGTTGGACTTTATTGAATTAAATCAATACAAAGTTTTAGTAAGTAGGCCGGTTTTCTAAAACTTATTGACCAAATTAAAAGCTATAGGTAAGATTTTCAATTATGTCACATTACCTGCTCTCTTCTTTCCCTGAGGTAGTGAAGTAAATCCCCATTCTTTGCAAACTCGACCACAAGGAACATGGGATTTGTCATGGTACAGCAAGCCAATAAGTTTAATATGTTCTGGTGATACCCAATTTGTTTCATAAGCATTATTTCCTCTAGGAATTCCTGCATTTGTTCTTCTGTGGCACCATCTGGTAGGGAAAAAAATAAAAAGCGTTTTTCGCTACAAGTTTTAAACATACATGGGCGAGCTTCATTTAAAACTGAACAATTAACTTCAGTGGGAGATCACAACAACAACAGGTAAGCAGTAGAGGAAAGGGCCAGACAGACAGTCCGTTCCATTTATTGAACATAAATTGACTTAGCAGGACCAGTACACTGCAATCTAACAATCATGACTAACCATGAGGGCGTGGGTGGGGGGAGGGGGGGGGGAGGGAAAGCCAGTTAAATCGAGCACATCTTCAGAGTCCTTGCAGCGTTCTAACAGTTCTGCAGTGCAGACTCGGGCAAACTAGTCCCAGGCTTCCCTCCTCCCCAGGGTTAAATGTAAATAAAATGAATATTTATACTACTAAAACACGATCACAATTCTACGCCTATTTCATGAAATAACCAAAATGGTTAATTTAAAATATATAACTCTTTGCGACTTTTCATTTTGCCCATATCAAGATCTGAATGGTCGTTTTAAGAACCTTATCCACATTTAACGCTTTTAAGACGCTGTCATAACCAAATCGTACTTTGCAACATTTTCACAGCAACGGCAAGGCCAATCTTCATTTCCTGCTGCTCCTTGTCCGTCTTACGTTGCAAAGATTTCCTCCCTTTTCCAACCTCCATAGTTTGTTTCAAAAGCCTGCCATTATATACTTTCCCAAACGCTCCTTCTCCAATAATCCGATGCAACAAAATGTCATCAAAACGGACTTCCCACGGATCCTGGAAGAGTTCTGAATTGGATCTGAAAACATGTATACATGTATCAGAATCAACAGCTCGAGCCTTCAACATAGTAAGTAATTAAAGATAGCTCCTTAGGATAATCATTTATCGATAAAATTAAGCGAGCTAGTTTATGTGGTTTTGTTTTTGATTGTCTTGAATTTCCCTCTGTGAAATCTTCCATGCAAATTTTAACAGCATACCGGATCCGCTGGATACGAATTTTGAAAGGGATAACAGTAAATTTTGTACTGGCGGGCGTTTTTTTTTTTTTTTTTTTTT